GAGCGCTGATGACAACAACTTTGTTGTTGTTGCTGTTGCTGTTGTTGTTGTTGCTGTTGTCGCTGTCGGTGATGTCATTCGCCGGCCTGACATTTGTTTATGAGCTCAGTTTGTTTATTTGTTTGTATACTTGTTTGTGCCTGTGCCTTGGCCTGTGCCTGCATACTTCCTGCTCCAAGGCGAAACTGTTGGCGCTTTTATTGATTTTTTGTTTTGTTTTGTAGGCCGGCAAAAGGATTTGCTACGTGTGTGCGTGTGTGTGTGTGTGTTTGTGAAAGGGGAGTTGGTTAGCTTTTTCTTTTTTTTTTTCTAAGAGCAAGCATTAGGCGTGTCGTGCGTGCAACAAACTGAACAAAAATGACATCATAAGCAGCAAGTTTTTTTATGCTCGTGCAGTTTTTTGTCAAATGTTGATTGATAAGAGTAGAGTGAAGTAATTGGCAACAGTAGCCTCCCTCTACAGGAGTATATTTTCATTTAGATTTCGATACGATTTAAATAGTAAATTCGAATGAGAACAGGTCGTTTCTATTGCGATTGATTGCCCTTTGGTTGCTGATTAATCTGATCTTAAAACAAGAAGATTACTCAATGCTCAAACTAGGCGCTGTTTGCAGGGTATCGCCTAGTCGCACACACAATATCGACAACATGTTTTAGCTACCTTTTTAACAGTTGTTAAGTCACATATTTTGTAGTGTAGGAGCAACTGGCCCTGCTTGTTGGCCAGCAAATGACGCAATCTTCGATGCGTGGCCAGCTGTTTTGGCAAATTTAATAACGACCACAGAGAGACAGACAGAGTGAGAGAGAGAGAGAGAGAGAGAGAATGGGGCAGAACGCGCGTGCCGCAATAAGCTTCACATGACAGCCGAAAGATACAAATGTATCGCGCAGATACACAGAAATGTATCTACACAAAATACAGCTTCACAAGCATAAACACATTGAAATGAGCGCAAAAATTTCAATATACTTATTATGACAATTAAAATAAGAAGCAATATTTTGTTAAAAAAAAAAAAAAACTTAGTTTTGGGCGTTTCCTTTTAATTATAATAAAAAAAAAAGATGTGCACATAAATCTTAAAAGAGCGAGAGGAAGAGAGCTGAAGGCGAATCGGCATCGATGATATCATAAACCCAACAGCATCCGAAACAGAAACCATAAAATCAGCCGAAAGATAGAGGGAAAAAACTGCTTTAAAATATAGAAATAAAGACAAGCAATTCAGCTTAAAAGGAAGAAAGCCTGTTACAAAAACCAAACTCTACTTTAACTGAATTAATTTGAGATAAGGAATAGAAAAAAAGAGGCATTACAAAAAGAAAAATCAAGATATCGAAGCCTTTTGGCTCGAAATTAAGACGTCATTTTCAATAATGCGACGAAATACTGATCCAAGTTTGGATGAAAGACATCAAAGTTGAAAGCCTGACATCATGATCATGACGAGCTGTGAGCGTCGAACTAAGAAGCGTGAAATCTCCAGTTCAAATCCAGCAACATAGTGTGGCTAATTTTGAAATAATAACAAGGTCCAGCAATATACATACGAGAGAGAATGTCAATTTGCATTCAGCTGGGATATTCACATCAGTTAGGGTATCAGTCTTGAGGTATTCCTGTTCTTCACTAATTTAAATTTCGGACTAAAACCAGTCGTAAAAACGAAACAAATGGCGATTGCAATTTCGGGAATATTCAATGTTTTGGATGTTATTTCAAATAATTCGAAATAGAAATAGATCAGAGCTAATAAAAATGAAAACAAATAAGAGACACGAATAGAGGCAATGCCTAATGTCAAATGCCAAATAACAAATGACAACAATAAATAACCGAAGCATGACCATCAGCCACATGCGTGACTCTCCCTCTCTCTCTCTCTCTCACCCACTCTCTCTCTCTCTCGCTCGCCTTCGGCTCAATTTAATAAGAGTCTGGAATGGATCTTCTCTCTCTTTAATGAACCATTCAAATTATGTTTCTACTAAATGTGCATTAATTGGAGAAATGTTCTGTCAAAAGATCGACTTTAAGTTCTTTCTATTTTCGTTGACTCGTGCATTCGAATTCGTTATTTTTACAGCTATCGCAGTAAATTTCTGGAATTGAAGGCCGTTCACAAGTCGCAATTAAGCTTAATGGGGGCGCCGTCAAATGGGAATTATGGCAACTCTGAGCTTTACAACACAAATGCAATTAACATGCCTCCATATCGATAGGGAACTCTAATTTAATAGCAGAAAACACAATAATACTATATACACATGCATATACAGGATATGTCAGGCTTTTAATGAATTTATATATTTATTTGAATTTATTTATAACATAATTTTTTTGCGGCTAAAACGAGTAAATTTTTCTTTTCATCTTTGAAGCGAAATTTACCCGCGCAGCGCTCGCAATGTATCCAATCAGATGATGATGTCATCAAAATTGAGCATATAAAAATGTGAATGAGTGAAGATTGAAGGTCGACTAGACGATACCCTTCTTATTTTTATATAAAACTGTTCAAAACTTCTAAACATTGCATTCAATTGTGTGTATATAATGAAAACTAAAATCCTCTTAGATTTACTGATTCTTAAATTTCTAGGAAAACATCTGCAAAATTTGAAATATTCTGGTACTTTAGCTCCAAACATGTTCGAGAAAGGCTCAGTATACCTAGAACTCGCATCGATATTTATCGATTTGAAGCAAACCGAAGAGGCAAAGCAGAGCGGATAAAACTGGTTTGTCAGCATACATATTTGATATACCCTCTTTCTTTCGTGCTGGTCAAGAATACATTTATATACTTTATGGGTCCGGATATGTCTTATAACGTTTTTGTAAAATCTCCCAACTTTATGTTGGTCGCTTTTAATGAATGCAGAGTATAATAACAAATTGAATATTTTGAACGAGTTTGCAGCTTTTGCCGCAGATCTTGGCATGTACATATGTATGTAGTAATACATGAGTATACGTATGTGTCTGTATATGCATATAGATATTATGTATAGGCTCGTATGTAAATCGATCGATAATTTAGGCAGCTGACATAACCCCAAAGCTGATCACTCTAATTATATGCGTATGTATGTATGTGTGTATGTATGTGTGTATGTATGTGTGTATGTAAGTACGTTCACAATTGAAGAGCTTTTATAGACCAAGTTATGATTGTGACCCTCAATAAAACAAATGCTCAGCTAATTTTGGGTCGTGGCGATGTCAGCGTCGGCGTCGGCGTCGGCGCGAGCTGCTGACACCGCTGGGGCGTAACGGGTGCGCAGAAACGATGACGTCGTCAGCTTCGTGGCCGCTGCTGCTGCTGCTGCTGCTGCTGCTGCGATGACCACATGAAGTGGACGCAAGACAAGAATTGTAGAGTTATGTGCTTTACAATGAACAACGAAACAGCAAAAGAAACAACGGCGAGCAATACCAATTGCGCGTCGGCAGCGACGCTGACGCTGACAGCGCTGATCTCTAGAGCGCTGTCAGATCTCGCTGCCTAGCTGATGTCGTCAGTCTGCGCTGCTGCAGCCCCACCTTAGTGGACGCTCACAAAGCCACACAGACACACACACACATACGCAGACAAACAATGAGCGCGAATTAATATTGTGTGCATGTGAGCTACAACTGTAGCTGTGTGTTTGTGTGTGTGTGTTGATGTTGGCTTGTATTATTTTCGTGTTTGACAGCGGCTGCTACTTTTTTTTTTTTTTTCTAGCAAAACCTGTTTTGAGCCAGCAACAACAACAACAAGAAAATGTCTACCCAAGCTTGTTGTTTGTGCAGCAATAGAGAGCGAGAGAGAGAGAGGGAGACAGCGCGAAAGTGTTGCGGAATGTCTATGGTTTTCTAATTAAAAATTGAATTAAACAGTGTTGCAAAATGTTCACTTACCTGTCAGCCGGTTGTCCCAAGTGCGGTTTTAATGCAATTATCAAATTGAAACACAGCTAGCAGCAATAATAACCAAAGCCAAGAACAACAACAGCAACAACTGAGCAGCAGCCAGCAAGTGTCTCTTGCAAAACAAAACTTCCAAAAAGCCAAAATGAGACACCACAAAAAGTGTTTCAAAAAAAAAAAAAAAAAAAAAACACGCACACAACTTTACCAACGCGCCAGGTAAGCTAGAGAGTGCGAGAGAGCAAAAGAGCGAAAGAGAGAGTGCAACCCACTCAACTCGAGTCTACTCGACTCGACTCCGAGTCGAAACGTTGGCTTTAGCAGCAGCTCGCTGCGCACGTTTGTATGCATGTATGCGTGCTACAAAACACACACACACACACACACACACACTCACTCGCATACACATTCACATACATGCAAGCGTGAAAATAGCATAATAATTTCCAACAAACTGAGCAAAGCTGCTGCCTTGGCTTTTGAATCTGACTGCGACTTCGACTCCGAATTCTACTGTAAGTTGTGGGTTTATACGTTTTTTTTTTTTCTTTTTATTTTATCGGCCAACTGAGCAAATAAACAAAGCTAAAGCGTATTTATTAAAGCTTTTCTTCGCTGCTGCTTTAGTTGCAGTTGCTGTTGTTGTTGTTCTTGCGATTGATGCTGCCTGGCGTCCTACGAGTTGCCGTTATTGTTGTTGTTCACTTGAATTTGCGCTCATTTTGTTTCATTGTAAATTGGCTATGATGTTTAAATTAATTTTGGGCGCGGTGCCCGCTCACACACACCAACACACACACACACACACAGACGCACACATACACAATTACATACAACTGTTTGTATTAAATAAATAGCATATAATACAAATTTAAGAATATACGAAAAAACAAAAAAAAAAAGATGCTGTTTGGTAAATTTGTAAATCCGTATATTGATTGCGCTTTTAGCTAGTTTTGACCAATTGCTGTATGTATTGCTTATTGTATATTTAAATGATTCTCACACAGGCACACACACAGCACAAGAAAAAAATTTAAACAAGTAAATAAGAAAATTTTCTATGCCAACAACTAACTGCACACGGGCGTCAGTCTCTCTCGCTCAGACCGGCGCTGCTGTTTCTGCTGCTGCTATACATACAAGGCGAAGGCACAACCGCGCGCAACAAAAACAAAATGAAGACTGCTTTGCACCAGTGTGACAGCAAAGGGGCACACCAATTTTGGTTAATTAAGTTTAGGACATGGTCACACTGATTGTGCATCTAGCGCTGCCACACTGCATAAATGCGAGCTGTTATTTATTTATCGTATATCGATTGCGCTCAGTGTTGCTTTGATAATTCACTATTGCATGTTTGCGTGTGTGTGTGTGTGTGTGTGTGTGAGTGTGTGCAAGTGTGAGAGCTTTGAGCCAAAGGCCAAACCAAAAGAAATTCAAAAAACATAAACATCGATTTTAGCGGCACAAGCATAATACTGTATTGTTGCAACGCCTGCTAAATAGTTAACAACATATGCTGGCCACTTGCCTATGTTATATGTTTGCAGAGCCCAGCATTTATGTAAATGCATAACTCTACTTATCACAACGGAAAAATCGAAGTGCTTTAAATGTCAAGGACAACAAAAAGCATAACAAAACAAACAACAAACAAAACAACAACAATAACAAAGAGGAGCAGCTGTATTTAAGGCGGAACAGCCAAGCCAAACCGAAGGCCAATTTGCTGAATCTTACCAAACCAATTGCAAAGTTCGAATGTAAAACCAAATCCGGAACAGCAACAACAGCCATGTCCAATAATCCTGCATATGCAACGCCCGCCCAAAAGCCGCCAAATGCCAGCAGCAACAGCGGTAACAGTGCCAGCGGCGAATCCAAGGTGCCCTCAAACACATCCGTCGCCCATACGTCGCTGGATGTTAGTGGGACGACGACGACACCATCAAAGGCAATGTCCGCCGTGCAGCCGCAGGCGGCAGTACATAACTGGACGGACGAGGTGGACAGTCCGCTGTGGCTGTCCTCATTGCATAGCGTTATATTTATCATTACGTGCGCTTTGGCCGTTTTTATATTGTTTCGCAATGTCCTGACATGGTAAGCGTACCTAATACATACACGCACCCACACATACATACGTATATACATACATGATGTACACTTACATCAGTAGCAGCTTTCTGCTAGTGAATCTATGTTAATTCGTTTACAGCTATTAACAAGAGCACATCACATTGCCGACGCCACTGCAAAAGCTCTGGTCACTGCTGGCTGCGCTGTAAGCTTTGAGCTTTTTAGGCGTAACGGTTAACTGATCAAATGATAAGAGAGCGTGACATTACAGTTGCTAAATATAATATAAATTTAATTGCTTTAAAACGTTTAGCTTGGCTCAATTATAGATGCAACTGTTTAATATATATACATAAAGGGTATAGGGTATAATTATATAAACATTTGTCGCCCATAACTGATTAGCTCTGGCTATAGGCATTATCAATTGGAAAAACTAAACTATAATTCGCGAGCGAATTTAGATTTTCTTTCATCATGCAATATTAAGATATCCCTTTAAGATGATTTAAAAGCAACATTTATATATTTTTTTGTTCAAATGTTCATAAAATATTACAAGACGTAAATTTAACGATTTTACATATTCAGATCTCGGCCGATTAACAACAGTTATGTCCGCGTCTTGAAAGCTCTGCGAGCTTAAAAGCCAAATGTAACGGACAAAAGTGATGTGCATGCAAAGAAAGCTTTAACTGCGTTCGAGAACGGCGCTCTTCTTCCTTGCCTTTCTCTTTCTAGCGCTCTCTTTCTCTTTGGCTCGCTTTGTGCGTGCGGCCTGAGCTGCGCTTCCCCATACCCCATTTTTTCCCCCAAATTCAGTTGCTCAGTTGCTCAGTAGCTTGGCAGCCGCTGACTGAGTGACAGCTGCAGAACCTTTCGCTGAGATTCCATTAATACTTTTATTTTTATTTTATTTTGTTTTTGTTTGTTTGTTTTGTTATTGCACCTGTGCATCGCATGGAGAAATTTAACGAGTTTTCTTACCTGCCAACCAGGCATTTGCAGAGCTTCTGGGGCGCCTCCGGTGACTTTTGGCAATCGCAATGGGACAAGTTCATTGACAAGTTTGGTAAGTTTGGCCAAAAGAACGCCAAGAAAGAGCGCGTACGAAAAGAATGAGCAAAAAAAAAAAACGAAAAAAAAAATGGTTAGAAAATGTGTTAGAATTCAAAAGTATCTGTGAGTGCGCATGCACTCAAGGCTTGAAGTTAAATCCATGTCTGCGTGAGACTGTGTGCATGCATATCTGTGTGTGTGTGTGTGTGTGTGTTTGTGTCTTTTCGCGTGTCTTTTAACGTCAGATATCACGAATTGCACTTTTGCCTCCCATTCACAAGCAGCTACAACAACAGCAACAACAAAAGCAAACAGAGTCGACAATAAACAGCAACTGTTTTGTTTACTAATTCGCACACACACACACACACACACACACACACAGCAGTCGCAGTCAAAGGCTGAATTGATAACACTGTGCAACATAAATTGTTGCTCAATTAGTTATTTGTACAGGTTTAGGTTTATTTTTTATTTTAATAACATCGCATTGGTTTTCTCATTAAATGCAAATTTATTTTAATTAACATTAAATTCAGTAATAAATAATACTCAGTTTTGCTGCACAGTGTTAGATATATTGCATAGCCTTTGTGCAGTAACTTGATCTGAAACATTTAATTTACGTTCATTAAAATGTATTCAAGATAAAATATTACTCTGGTTCTTAAGCTTCTTAAGCTTTATCAAAACTGAGCTCTGGATCAGTAAAAATATCTAAAAAAGAAACCTTAAAAAACGTTTTAAAATATGAAAGCTTTCATATTAATTTCTGTTCAGAATAAGAGATCACGTTTTAGTTTGAGTAAAGCTTATGTTAAATTTGAAAAAAATGTAGTTAAAGCTTGAGGCAACTTTTAAACTCTTAAAATTTAAGTCAAATTGAAAGATTAACATCAAGATTAATGTTAGTTCTTAATATAATATTAGTTTTATTTTGAGGTTAAGGTTTTGAATAAAATTAAGATTATTAAAATGAAATAAAATTAAAATTTAAGGTAAATGGTAAAGTTACAGTTAATGTTAAAACGAATTTGCGTGAAGTCAAACTTTGAGTTTTATAGAAAATTTGTACTTAAAATGCAACAAAATTAAAGTAATTTAAGAGTGAAATGCTTTAGTTAAATTTAAGTCACAGCAACTAAGACTTTAATCTAGTTAGTTGAATATATATTTAAGTAAAAAGAGAGTAAGCTAATATTATTGTCAGAGATATCTCCATAAAGGCTTCTAGAACAAGTGCCAAAAGGGCTATACCTATACATACACAAATATGTGTATATATAAAAATGATCAGGGGTCATATAACTTGTACTCTCAGATCTATAAGTATTTATTGTTACCCAAGCCATGAATTGCGTATTACACTCGACGGAGCTTTAGATAAGTGCATGTTATACGTAGATAGATTGAATAGAATAGATAGAATAGATACGAACTATGCTAACAATATTTGTGTCCTGTGCTCGCAGGCGATGATCCGATGATGCTGTGGGTCTTTGGCACCACCATGTTCACAATGTTTGTCTACTGGAGTGTGGGCGGCATTTATACATTCATGGATCTGACCAATCGGCCGGCCTGTCTACGCAAATACAAAATCCAGCCGGGCACCAATGAGCCCGTCGAGGCCGGACGTCTGTTGAAGGTGACGAATGCGCAACGCATCATTTCATTGATTCATTCTTAATTGAGTTAAATCTCTCTTGCTCTCTCTCTCTCTCTCTCTCGCTCTTGCAGGTCATTTGGCGTGTGATCTGCAATCAAATATTTGTGGGCATACCGCTGGCGTATCTCAGCTACAAATTGATGACGGTGCGGGGCCTGAGCGATATACGAGAGCTGCCCACATTCCACTGGGTCTGCTTCGAGCTAACCGTGTGCATATTGATGGAGGAGCTGGGCTTCTACTATTCGCACCGTTTGCTGCATCACAAGCACATCTATAAGTTTATACATAAGCAGCATCATGAGTGGACCGCACCAATATCGGTTACGGCCATCTATTGCCATCCCATTGAGCATATATTTAGTAATCTGTTGCCACCGTTTCTGGGCGTATTCCTGATGGGCAGCCATGTGGCCACCGCCTGGCTATGGTTCGCGCTTGCCATACTCTCGACGCTGAATGCACACTCCGGCTATCATTTGCCCTTCTTTCCCAGCCCCGAGGCGCACGACTTTCATCATTTGAAGTGAGTTCCAAATCAACCATGAAGTGACATTTCGGCAGAATTCCATTTGTTAGCTTCCTTTAGAAACTATCTACATAAAACTGGGCACTAGTTGATTGACCTTTTCTAATAGTTGTGTGTTTTATGCCTTTTAGATTCAACAACTGCTTCGGCGTTCTGGGCGTCCTGGATCGTTTGCATGGCACCGACTCGCTATTTCGTGCCACCAAATCCTATGCGCGGCACATTATGATGCTGAGCTTTGTGCCGCCACGCGATGCCTTTCCCGACTCCACCATGAAGTGAGTGGTTCCAGTTGGAAGAGCCCATCTTCAAGCTGTCGGGCGTTATTGTGTAATCCTCTCCTCTATACGCTCTCCGCTCATATATATACATGTGTGCATGTACCTTATATAAAATGATGTATTCTCTTCTTACTATTATTTTATTTTATTATTATTATTGTTTTTTTACCGATGTGTGTACACTTCATTGTGATAATAACCAAGCGAGAGGCCAGATAAAGTTTCAATTTTATAGACACTAAAAGAAAGTGAAACATTTAATGATAAAAGATAAATTATACAAGCAGAAAGCAGATGTAAATGTGTGTTAACAAAAAAAAAAAAAAAAAAAAAACTAGTAGTAAGCAGTTAGATATGATGTATTTCTCGCACGGCACGAACTAAAAATAATAATAAAAACAATAAACCAAATAATAAATAAGAAAGAAACGCCAAGAGATTTCGTGAACTTTGGGCGCAAGAAGTTGTTGTACTCCCGCTGATCAAAAATAGACCTAATCTACAAATTTAATAATGCTCGGCAATAGTTAATCTCTTATAAATTGACTACGACAACATGATAACCATTGCAGCTAATCAGCTAAAAGGCAAAATACGGCGGAGCCTATGCCGTTAGTTGAATGAGCTATAAGTCTTCTCTATTATTTTTGTTAAAACTATAAAGAATTAGTTACAAACAAATCAGCCCAAATTTGTGCTATGCTAGGCCTTAGGCTAATATTCCATAAATTAATTTACTAGGCTCGAACTCGAACCGGTCTCTGCCCCCATAGTGTTTTTTTTTTGGGTAATCTTGATGCCATCTGCTGCCACCAGCTGCTGGCTCCAGCTGAAATGCCCGTTGGGCTGTAACGCATCAGGGGCGCAAGGCATATACTTGCAGTGTTTTGCGCCTGCCAGTCGAGATTGAGCCATGGAGTCCAACACAATCCTCACCAGCTGTGCTCTGCGCTGGCGCAACGCCGGCGAATCGCTTCAGGCGCGCTGGCTAGCTTTGCTCGATGTCATCGGGAACGATCCGATGCACTTGTGGGTGTTCGGCACCACAATAATCATATTTTTCGTTTATTGGCTTTATGCTGCCATTTTCACGCTCATGGACATCACGAATCGACCGAAGTTTCTTCGCAAATACAAAATACAACCGGGCCAGAACGAACCGCTGGATCTAGGACGACTATGGCGTGCCGTCAAAGTGGTGCTGTTCAATTTAACGGTGGTCAATTTGACTATAACCTGGTGCCTTTACGTACTGGTGCTCAAGCACTATAATAGCATCGATGTACGTGTACTGCCCAGCTTTGGACGGGCTGTGCGCGACTTTGTCGCCTTCGTGGTGCTGGAAGAGACCATGTTCTACTATGTGCACCGTTTGCTGCACCACAAATCGGTCTACAAGTATGTGCACAAGAAGCATCATGAGTGGACAGCACCCGTTGCGGCCATGACTCTGTACGCGCATCCTGTCGAGCATGTGCTGGCCAATTTGGTTCCAGTGGGCATATCAATGTCGCTACTGGGCGCGCATGTTCTTGTGGCTTGGGTCCTGACATCGTTGGCCGTCATCAACGCGATGAGCGATCATACAGGCTACAGTTTTCCTTGGTCAGGCGGATCTGTGCGCTTCCACGACTATCATCACGCCAAGTATGTGACAGACAGTTCTGCATGCTTATTTAAAAAAAAAAAAAGGGAACAATTAACACTTTTTCGTTTTCAGGTTCAATTACAATTATGGCGTTACAGGTTGGCTGGATAAGCTACATGGCACCTACAGAGCTCCATACAAGCAGAAGCAGCCGCTAGTCAAGCCCAAGTCCGTTAAGATCAAGCGCAAATCAAGATAGTGGAAGTTTATGTCACAATAAGTCGCAATTATTAACGTTTTCTCCATTTTCAAATTGAATAACTACTAATGCAGCCCTGCTTATTAAAACCGATAAATCGTCTGTTGCAGCCCTTGAATTTATGATATCGATAAGTACCTGCTCAAATGTCGTTTAGACGATCATTGTGACCATTGAAAGCATAGTTTAAATTTGATAAGGTATTCCGCATTTTAATAAACATACGATTTACGAAAATATAGTCTTGATTTAGTGATTGTTTATAGCGCACATTCGAAGCACGCCGGACTATCGATATCGGATATATCGATAAGATTTCGGCTACGCACACACAGCTGTTCGCTGGCAGATTACGCGACCGATGGTGCTTATAGGTTTTTTTTTATAGCTATAATTCATTTGACATTTTTATTAAACAAAACCTGAAGTACCATGCACAAGGTGATAAGACAAATGGCGCAGCTAACGCTGCAGACGCCGCTGCTGGCAACCGCCCCCGCAACCAGCGTCGCCAAATTGTTAGCAGTGCCACCTGCGATCACGCAAAACGTTGACTGTTGCGGCGTGCACACGGCTTCCACGGGCGGGCTGTGCGCCAAATGGAACAAACACAATTACGGGCCGCGCAAATGGCTGGAGTATAACAAAACGGTGCATCCGCCACAGGAGTCACAGGATGAGGAGCCACGCAAGGCGGTAAAAGAGCTGAAACGATGATTTGAATATGCGCCTATTTTAATGGCAACCAATTCATTTCCAGTATGTGTGCCACATGCGCACCAACATCAAATACAGTCCGGACAAGATGTGGTATATAGCGGCCTTTGTGCGCGGCATGTCCGTGGATGAGGCGCTCAAGCAGCTGAATTTTGTGCTCAAGAAAGGCGCCACAGATGTCAGGGAGACGATACTGGAGGCTCAGCAAATGGCCGTTGAGCGGCACAACGTGGAGTACAAAAGCAACTTGTGGATTGGTAAAATAGTCAACTTCCAAAATAGTCCTCAACTAATTTAGCGGTTATTTCTTGTGTCCCAGCCGAATCCTTTGTGGGCAAAGGACGTGTCTTCAAGGGTATGCGTCGGCATGCCCGCGGTCGCTTCGGGCGCGTCGAGTACAAGCACTGTCACTACTTTCTGCGCCTGGAGGAGGGCGAACCTCCACAGCATTATTATCTGCCCGAGCCACAAACACCGCAACAGCAATTGGAGCAATGGCTAGAGCAGATGCGCAGCCGCAAGGTCATCAGTTCGTTGTAGAAACCACATCACACCGCATATACCCTTAGACAGCATCTTTCATGTGCAGCGCATTTGTTAATGTTATCAAAAACGTTATTTTTAAATAAAAATCAAACTGAAACATCAATCGATCAACCAATCTTATAGCGAACCATTTGCTCAAGCTCTGTGCAAAATGTTAAAAGCCAGTTCTAGACACATGATGTGACATAGAAAACACGTATGGAATAACTGATCTAGAAGACATGTAGCTGCATTTAAACAGCGCATTTGGAAGTCTGTTAAAATAGATATTAAGAATATGACCATTTAGCTATTTGAACTGAGGACCGGCTATGTTATCAATATGATATAGAACTGTGTAAATAAGCTAGAGCAACTCAATTTGGAATACTTCCCTTGTCTGGACAAATGGCGATTGCCTGGCGTTGCCCGGCCGAGTTAAAACATCAGTCACCAATCCTTTGACTTCCATGTCCACCAAGCAGTGGAATGGATTCTTCGAAAAGTATTAAATATCTCTCAAATGGATTTCGAGATGATTTGTGTGGAGTTTTCCAATTTTCCATATATAGAAGTAAGCAATGGAACATCAATTATGACCAAACAGCAAAGCTTACAGGTTACCAGCAATAAATAGGTTGTTATTTTCGGAGTAAGAGTACGAATGCATGACATTGCTTTGCAAGAACTAATATAGTTGCTTAAATATTTATACAATAGCTAATTTACTATGGTTTTTTTTTAAGGGTATATGCGTCCATTTTTATGTTCGATTATGGGGCAATTTCCTCTTCGGTGTCATTCTGCAGTGCTTGCGCCAGCAGCTCCTCAATTTCTCCATCGTCCAGCTGTGCCTGTTGGTCTTCCTGTTGCTTTTGCAGTTCCTGGGATACGCTAGTTAGCGCCAGTGGCTTGCGCTGGCGCACCTCCTTATCAATCTTCTGGTCGAGCACCAGGCAAGCCAGCTTGGATAGGTGCGAGCGCGTTGGCTTGCCCGCATCACGACGACGCTTGCGCGACACTTTTGCTGCCGGGGTTGGGTTTGGGTCTGGACTTGGGCTTTGCTGCTTCTTAGCCGGCAGGCGCTCTTTGGCAGTATGGTCGCGCAGCAAATGCTTGCTGAGATTCTGGGCGCTGCTGAAACAGCGCTGACAATCAACGGCCAGGCACTCAAAGCGCCTGCCCGAGTGCGCGGACAAGACGTGCTGTCGCAAATTGCGCTCGTAGGAATAGCTGCGATTGCAGCCAGGCTCGGTGCATGCAAAAGTCGATTCGTTCTCTGCAGGATGTTTGGCAGCGATATGGGCACTGAGATCACTTGGCTTCTCGTAGCTGCGCTCGCATTGCTCGCACTTGTGGCGTTCGCGTCCGTGCTGTGTTTCACGGCAATGTTTTGTATAGAGCGTCCATTTGTCGAATTGCTGTTCGCATTGGGGGCAGGCGTAGAGCTTGCAGCTGCGCTGGTGGCTTTCCTGCTGCCACTGTTGATAGAAGCCGCGAGTGCACTTCTCGCACCGAAACGGATACGCCTGTGTGTGCTGTGTAATCTCATGGCGGCGCAGTTTCATCTTTTGCCTGAACTTGGCCGGGCAATGTGTGCACGCATATTCGCGCGGACACTCATGTGCTTCGCGTAGGTGTCGCGTCATATTGCTGGTCGATGTAAACATCTTGCTGCACTCCGGCAGACTGCATTTGATCGTTTTTTGCAGTGCCGCAGGACGCTCGTGTGTGCTGCGCAGATGACGCTTCAAATGGGTGACAATCGAATAACTCTTCTCACAGCCCTCGTAGCTGCAAGCATGCTTTTTCTACAAAAACAAATGATCAGTTGGCTGATGGAAGCCGCTTTGATGCCCTTTTACGACTTACAATGCCGGTGTGATGGTATTCATGGCGATCCAATTGGTCCAGACGCTTAAAGCTTGCGTCACAGCCGCCGATGCTGCAGCTGTATTTGGGGCCGGTGCTGTCGCGACGAGCCTGTTTGGCCTTAAACTCCTCCAATACCAGATCCAAGTCGCTGTCACTCGTGATTTGCACAACCGGTGGCATTTTGCTTCAGCATGAACGTAGATAGCTCAGAAACAACGTGCGAGCTTGGAATGTCAATCTACGACATCGATATGGCGATACTTAGGTTTGAAACAACGATAGTTATAGACTATAAATCGATATCGGCTATCGATACTTTGTTGCACTTTTTCTTCAAATAGAGACAATAAGTAAATGTAAGAGATATTTTTAGCACTTTGTTAGCCGAAAAGCAACTTTATCCAGTGCAGCATATTGTTTAAACATACAAAATAGTATCCAAAAATGTAAACTACGATATGGCGAATTGTCAGCTGTTGCCAATGTAGCCAGACTGCATGTAGCTGCTACGTGGCAACCTAGACTTCACTTATTTTGTATCAGCGCTAAGGGTTGTGGAGGCCAGTCGATTGTCCACATCATCGATATTTGGCATCGATTGTCTTGCAGCTCCGCAGTATATGTAGTTGTAAGCTTAAGGTTATAAACGGAATTCATAGGCAAGATTATAAACAATAGTATTAATTCAAATAAATATGGAATATGAAAGTGTGCTGATTGTAAAGCCCGAGGTATTCATATACAAAATACCGCCACGCGCCAGCAACAGAGGATACAGGTGAGATGTCAACTTCAATTTAAAAAGTTGTGCTCAAAATACAAAAATTTGTCCAGTTGTTGTTGTTATGTGGTGCAATTGAAAGTTTTGTGATTTCATGCAGAGACGCCCCCACATCCCAACACAGTGTGTATGCATTTGTGTGTGCGTGCGTGTGTGTGTGTGTGCCCGTGAGAAATGCAAAAATTATGTTAAAAATGCGCAAGGCACGGAAATTACACCGAAATATGTGGCAAAAGGCCACAGCCAAGGTTACTAAAAAAAAAGAAAAAAGAAAAAAAAAACCTGAACATGACTGTTGTTGATTGTGGCCTCTTTTGAAGTTCAATTCCAATTGATTTTTTTTACTGCACTTTTATTTAAGCGCTCGCTTTGCAGTTTCTCTCAATTGCTGTACATTTCACTTGCAAGTCTGTTGTATGTGTATACACTTGCATGTGTGTGTGTGTGTGTGTGTGTGTGTGTAGCCAAAGCTTTTGTATAAGTGTAATTGTTTTTGTTGCTACTCTTGTTGTTGACTTTCTTTGTTTTCGCTTGAAGCGCCCGCACAGCAGAAAACAATAAATACAAGCAAATAAGAGCGCGCACACACACACACACAGACACACACACACATAGCACACACACATATGCATATGCGTATGTGCGCATGCCAGCAACTGAAAATGTTTATGAACGAAATAGAATAATTATTTGAAATCGGTTTTATAACACGCAGAGCAGCGGACTGGAACCTGAAAGAGCCCACCTGGACCGGACGAATGCGTCTGGTGGCCAAGGGCACAACATGCATACTAAAGCTGGAGGATAAGACGAGCGGCGCTCTGTTTGCCAACTGCCCCGTCGATACATATCCCGGTGTTGCGATCGAGTCGGTCTCGGATAGCTCACGCTACTTTGTTATACGTGTCCAGGACGACAATGGACGATCGGCCTTTCTGGGACTCGGTTTTGGGGATCGTTCCGATTCGTTTGATTTGAATGTGGCGTTACAGGATCACTTCAAGTGGGTCAAGAATCAGGAGCAAATCGAAAAAGAGAAAACTGAACCCAAACAGGAGCTCGATTTGGGCTTCAAGGAGGGTGAAACCATCAAAATAAACATGCGCATCACGGTAATTATTTGAAAGCGTCAATTCCACTAGACCAGAAGATACTCACTTCACTTCACCTAATTTCCAAGTAACTGTCTTGGTTTGATGTCCGATCATGTCAAGGATTAAAGATCACATTTAATTGTACGTTCCCTATTGCCAGACCCTCCGGTATCAGAGTTATGCCTGTAACAAACGTGCTCGCAAAACCAAGATACCCGTTTTGATACTCATTTCCACAATGTCCGCTTTCTTCGACTTGCATTCATTACTCTCATGTCAATCTCTATTCTATTCAATCTGTTAAACTTGATGATCCTCAACAAAGGAACACCAGGGAATCCCGTGTATAGTCAAAGATATTAACAATACTTTGGACTTTGCTTTGCAGAAAAAGGATGGCTCTGAGGGCAGCTCGCGCACTGGCAAGGGCAAAGGTACCGGCGGTGTGCTACCACCGCCGCCAGGTGGTTTGGCCAAAATCGCACCACCGCCAGCCGGTGCGGCTGCGGCTGCGGCGACGTTGCGGCAAAGTCCGGGCGCATCGCCAGCCCATCGGACCAGCGGAGGCGGCGCCGGCACGGAGTGGACCGACTACGCATCCGCCGGGTGAGCTGCAACAAATACGCAGACAAAGTTTTGTTTACCAACTGACGCGTTCCCTCTCTCTTTCAGCGGTAATCAAGGACAACAGAATACGGCAAATGCCAATTGGGTTCAGTTTTAGGCTGCGACCTGCGCAACGTCACGCACCGGTTTTGTGTTAAGGGCTCTTAACTGCTTTTTACACACCAGACACACACACACACACACGCATACACACACAACTTAAACTCGCTATTGAATTGGACAACATAACGACCAACACTAAAAAAAAAAACACACACAAATATATACAGTAGCAGCATATATATATGTTACATACATTTTCAAAAAACATGTCCGTTAACGTTAAAATTTTGTATAATTTAATATTTGCATTAATTTTGTTTCTTGACATAAGAACTATATATATATATATATATATATATTACATATTATAGAACTGTTCTGACGTACAATTCGAAATGAATTTAACTCAAGCGTATTCGCATATCACAGCAAAGAATTTTCGTGGAATGGCAATCGAGAACAGTTTCTGTTAAATGTTGGAAATGTAGCATAAACATTCCGTTTAGGGCAAGACATTGTAATTAGTTCAAAAGTATCATCGTTATCGTTAACGTTAAATCGATTAACAATTAACCAATTTAGTTTTTTTTTTTTTTTTTTTTTTTTTTTGCTCTACACATTGTTTTACACACACACGCACGCACACCCACACCTACCCCACACACAGAAACACACATCTAAAATGAATTGAAAAATAGAATTAAAAGGAGAGAAAAACGAAAAAAAAAAAACGGCTAACTACAATTTATTTGATTGTGCTTGAAATTGCAACAAACGAAATGCGATCGCAATAATCTTTTTAACAATTTTGTTGTTATCTCTAGTTGAAAAGTAAAAAAAAAAAAAAAAAAACTTGAAGCAAACATAAATAAATAACTATAACTGTGTTTTTGCTGCGCAGCATTCCAAACTGTTGCTGTTGTTAAATAGTTGATTGCGATTTAACAAATTTTGTTTCAATAATGTTCATGTAGCTGCAACTGGCATTTGATTTTAATTGTATGTTTTTCAAAATATGCAAAGCTTTTCCTGTTTTCCTCTTCCTCAAGCGACAATTCGGGAACTGTTTTGGCAGCTCTGTTACAGTTGGAGAGCTACTGCTTGGCACCCACACTCACCCACTTCCCACACTCGGAGACTCTACAGTTTGACAGTCGCGCTACATTGCAATCGTCTTGTTTTGTATTAGTTAATTAATTCACCGATTTAATGTAATATCTAATTAATTGCCAGCCGTGCAGTTATACAAATAATATAATATATGTACACATCTATATATATACATACATATATATATATATATATATAAATATACAACAAAAAATGAAAAAAAAACAAAAAACAAAAAATATATATAAATTGAAAATGAATATGAAAATAAAATAGCAATGAATTTCAATGTACAATTCTTGAGTTTCTTAAACCCAAACCAAGGAATTCATTCTGGCTAAGAAAGTCTCAGCTTTGTTTCTTCTAACATTCCTTAAAAGATCTAGACACAAATTCCAGGTAGAACGAGGCGTTGTTTTTTCTTTCTGTCTCTTTCTGTGTCATTAAGTCGTTCGGTACAGGTGCACCTCGAAGAGTTCGAAAAGTCTTTCGATTATCAAAGTCAAGAATTTAAGCAAAGAATGCAAATATTTTCAACTCTGCTTTAGATTCCATTTGATTCCATTATAAGATCGTTTTTCGTTTTTCCCACACATTTTCAGTTCAATTCGTTAAGTATTTAGGCGAAAATACTTTCACATTCACAACATTATCTCGTTCCATTCAATAACGAAATATGTGTTTAACGTATATTCGAAAACAAATATGATTATTTTGCAAACAAAAAACGAGGCTAAAGTCGTTTGATTTTGTATGTTTTTAATGTTTTTATTTAAACTTATAGTGTTTTTTTTTTTTTTTGTTTTGTTTTTTTTTCTTCTTAATCTTGTATAATAATTTTTTCTTTTTTTAATTGCGTTCTTTTCTCTTTTCTCTCTTTTTTTTTTGTTTTCTTTTTTAATTGTATATTGTTAATTAAGCATATTTGTTAAATTTATTACAACTCAAATATTTCATAGGACTTTTCATTTAATACATATAATTTAGTACGTGCCTTCGTTCTCAACTCTCTCAACTTGATCATCGACGCTATATTCATATACATAGATGGATTCTATACGAATAAATATATATATATAGATCTGGCTAGCTAGACATGCGAAAAATGTACTGTCAAGATCAAATATCGTTTGCAACTGTACCGCCGATTATAATCTTTGCTCTTTTACTTGAAATTTTGTTAGTTTTGTTAGCTTTTATGGTTTTTTTGACTTTAGGAAGCGTTTCGATGATGTGAACACCATAATTTACATGAACAAATCATAAAATAAATACATATATATATATATATATATATATATGTATATATGGTTTATATAAACAGCTAAGGTTTTAGTACGTGTCATCCGAACACAATGTAACTTTATCGAAACGTGTTGTTTTTCTATCATTTCTGACTTACTTATATACAATACAACTTTTGGCTTACAACAGTGTCTGTAGTTTTGCTATGCATGCACATACATACATACATACATACATACATACATATATATATATTCATATTCATAAAATGTGCACAGATAGATCGATTGGTAACACGGCTTAATTGCCACCTGGAACGGGCTAATGGGTCTGTTTTCCTTTTGCTTTCATCATTTTCATGCTTCAATAAAGCCTACGTATAACAGTTTTGAAAGTGTGTCTGTGTGTGTGTGTGTGTGTTAGTGTTATACTAGGCTACATATAACTGCGTGCATTAACACAATATTTTCGCTATGTTTAAGACCACCTCTTGACTTGAAAACTTACAACAAAAGCTTTTTTTATGCTTAATAACTAACTAAACTTAACTTATGCTGCACGGTGTGTGTTATCTGTGTGTGTGTGTGTTGGTTTGTGTGTCTGTGTTTTGTGTGTATGTGTGTGTGTGTGTCTGTGTTGTGTTTGAGTCGACAAAGCTCAGTAACAAGAACTTTACGGCATAAATATTATAAACAGAATTTAACAGTTTAATAGTACAGTTTAATAGAACTAGTCGCGCCCCCGCCCCACACACCTACACCTACGCACACACACACACACACGCACACACACTGTTGCGGCGGCTGCAGTTTTCCGCTTTTCCTCTTTCCCCTAGCCCACGCAACCAATACCACGTGCTACTCCATTGAGTGGGAAAATTGTTGTTGCATTTCAATTTGGCGCATATGCATGTGTATGTGTATAAGAGCGTGTATGTATGTGTGTCTGTGGGTGTGTGTGTGTGTGTGTTGTGTGTCCACCCCGTTGGCTGCCGCTAGATGCTGGGATTACATGAAGCGCTGACGTTTACTGCTGTAGTGGCAAATGTCCATTTTGTCATCGATGGGACTGCCGGGACGCTTGCAATGGCGAGCGATTTCGTTGGCAACAAATGCAAATAGCTCCGGTCCGCTAGAAAGCAAAGAGAAAGTAAATAACAATTAAAATATATATGTTAAGTTATATGCATATATAACAAATCTTCTGCTTCCTTTGCCCCCTACGCTATCCATGAAAACTGCATTCTGATCCAACTTGCTTGTTTACAGTCTGATCCCTATGAAATTTTCAGCGCTTAAATACCAAAGCACAAGGCTCTACCTTTAAGATTTAGTTTTTTTTATACATACTACACGAGAGGCTACACACATTCCATTCAATTACTGAGCTATTATGAACTATTTCTGATGATCTATTGATATTTCAAAAATAAGCTGAGAGACTTTGTTGCTTTCCATATGAAAGCGTACACGGACTAGAGCTGGATCGCATCAGCTTGTCATTCAGATCAAGAAGCACGGCAAAGCTCGTGATTGCTGAGTTTGCTTGAAATGAAATGATTTTCATTCGGAAAGTATACACTGCACGATATTTTCCTGCGCATCTATAATATACATAGGTTCGATTCGGACATTTGCATGTTTCTGTCGTCAATTTTTAGTTTTACATATGCACGGACTTTACGTTACATTATAGACTACAGATATATACAGAACATAGGTATATAAATTTTGGGCTCGGATATGCCTACTTATATGGATTTCGTAACTGAAATATAACCATAAACATGGTCCACAGACAAGCAATTGCTTCTTTACTTTATGAATACTTAAATTTGAATATCGAATATAGTCTGTCTATCCACACATTAATAAACCCATCCGTCTACAAATATGGGAACTCGATTGCTGGATGGTCTATGGTAATATAGGTACCGTGGACGCAAAACTAAGGCCTCCTTGAAAGTGTGCAGATCGTCGCCGATGATGCCGCCAGTGCCGCCTGTGGCACCTACTGTCGCCGCCTGACCGCTGGCGGCATTTAGCAAATGCGTTGGCTGTCCGCCGGCGGTTGTGGGTGGCATCATGGTCAGTCCGTTGCTGGCAAAGCCTATCGCCGAGCCAGTGACACTATTGGTGCTGCCGCTGACTTGATGATGATGTACTCCGCCGCCATGGTGATGTTCCGGCTTGGGCGACCTGCAGCACAAGGCAAGCGGGCGAGCGAGCATGCAAGAAAGGGTAAGCATTAGTCTGGAGGATATGTTCGGCTGCCTCAGAAGGCGGACTCACCGACGATTGGCATGTGGATTCGTTGGTTGCGTTGGCAGCGCTTTTCCAGCTAAATAGGCCAGCAAATCCTCGCGCCGTATCATGCGGCGTTTTTTGCTGCGCGCCCAATCGGCCAGTTCGCGTGTGCGTCTTTGGTAGCCGCATTGTATGGCTGCGTCGCTGGTGCGTTTGAGACCATCACAAGATTCTAAAAAGGAAGCATAGTTTAGTTTAGCATTGGTTTAAACAATCAACTCATGGACTGCGACATAGAACTCAGCTCTTGTCAAGCCAACTAGTTACCTTTGTAGAGTGTTGTCACAGTGCCAGCTGCGGTCTGAAAGGGCAGCCACAGTGCCCCAGCCTCCGGAGCGAATGTGTTGGAAGACCGCTCTGTAAGAGACAAGATATCGAAACTATATAAAACACTGTAAATTCAACTTTTTGTCTACATTTGTGCTTAGACTTTTCGCAGAAAAACAACAATATGCAGGTAAAATCAAGGTATTATTCCTTTAGGGGCGCAAAGCGAAATGGACCTCATTCGCGGATCGCTTGGGGAAATTGTTCTCTCCATGTTTTGTTCTCTTCGCTCTTTGCAATAGCCAACACCTGCTGCTGCTGCTGAGTAAAAGACACGGACACATAAAGGAGGAAAGCCATTTGCCGTTATTGATCCGCAGCACATGAGAGAGAATTAAATGACAATGCGAACCCAACTGAGCAAGTGGGAAAGGGATGGCAGCAAATACAGAAAATAATTGTAATCAAGAGAAACGGAACGGAAATAAGGAGCATTAGAAACGTTAAGATAGCTCGCTGTTGCTTGTCTTTGCTCGTAGCAACAACCGAAAACGAAGAAGAGAGCAAGCAGAAGGCGACGCTAACGCTAATGCCGCCTAGGGCGGCGGCAGCGACGTCAGCAGCTTCCACTCTCTGCAGCGACAGTCGAAAACAGCTGTTTGTCAAATGTTGTTTTTTTTTTTTTTTTTCGTAAATGACGCACTATTTTTAAACAAATACACACACAAACAACATGCAATGTGACCAAATGACTTTTTCATCTGGAACTAAATTGAGTAAATAGAAAAAAAAAAATCGAGCGTCTACGTCTTAAGGATAACAAACGCTGCAGTTGCTGCGCAGTGCAGCGCAAATGTTATTGCGTTTCGCTTTCCACTCGTTCTTCTTTTTGTTTCGTTCAAAGAGGAACACCAAAAACCGAACGCAGACAGAGACATCAACATGCCTGGGCTCTATTGCATTCCAAGCTCTTCCTGCTGCTGCAGTTTTTGATAATGCGTAGATTGCAAGCGAATAAGTGGAGAGTAGGGAATGTGGAGAATTTTAAGGCGTGTGAATGATGCCTGCGAGAGCAGCACCATACACATACACATACACACACACACACACAGACGCACATGCACGCAGACCTATAAGCTTAAAAGCCGGGCCTGTTGTGAACATGCACTTGTTGTTGTTGTTGTTGTTAGTTTTCTGCTGCCTGGCGCAGGCAGGCTGCACGGCCACTATTAATACGCTCGTCCGAACTATTTTTATGCACACACACACACACACGCAGACTGGGTGTGTGCATGTGCTATATACATATGTATGAGATACAAATACAATGCAGCATAGTACCATAAACAAAATGCATTTTCGAATATCAAAAGGTTCAGCAGGATGAACAGCATGCAGCACTTACCACGATAGAGCTGTGCAACTGCAGTGGCCGAGTCCTGGAATGCGCCCCAGACGGTGCTTAAATTGTTGTCGCGCTGACGCACAAACTCGCGCTCGTATTCATCGTTCTGGCCGTTGATTTCGCGATGGCACTGCTCCTCTAGCCAGCTCTCCTCGCCACCAGATTCTTGTTGTTGCATTTTTTGTGGGGGACGGGGGAAGGTAAGGCGGGGGCGACACCTTTGTTGTGTGCTGTTGCTATTCGCTTGTTGTTGTTGTTGTTGTTATTGCTGTATGTATTTGAACTTCTGCTGCTGCAACTTAATGTTCCGGTAACTGCCAGCCGTTCCCTGCAGCTTCTTGGCTGCTCTTGGGCTCCTTTTTCGCGTCCGCCGTTCGCCTTTGCCTGCTGCTTCCTCTTTGCAACGACGACGACGTCGACAGCAGCAGCAGCACGCACTGACACTGACACACACACGCGCACACACACACACACCAACACGCACGCTTCTTCCTATGTGTGTGTCTTTGTATGTAGCGTTGGTTAATCTGTGTGCGCGAGTCCGTAGTTCTTGATGTTTTAGCGATCCGGCAATTCAGTTGAGCCACGATTCAACTGCCAAATAGCTTTAACTACGTCAGAGGATAAAGATATTAAATGTAAATATTCTGAAAACTTGTTAAAAAGGAGCACGCAGCACATTTGTACGTTAACCACCACAAAAAATGAACTAAGCTAGAGATGGGTGCTCTTATCGATATATCGCCAACACCGACAACTGCTGATATTACAAAATACAGCCAGTTAACAATATATATCGGCTGTTACCACGTATCGCACTAAGAAAACTATCGATTCATACGATTTTAGTTGAAAGCCCGCGAAATGTGCTTGCCTTTCAAATAAGTTAACTAGTGTATTTTGTGCACCTATTGATAATCTTCACTACGAATCCTAGCTTATTTTCCAATCGATCATCAGATGTTTCGTTTTTCTTTTTTTTTTTATAGGTAGTTATTTGTTTTTATCAACTTTATAACTTTATCTACTTTATAAGTAGATCCAATATCTATGGCCTTATATCTGCTGGAATTAAGGTAAACGCACAAGCCATACTGTACATACAGTACGCCCTCGTTACCACAACTCCTCGATAGACGCAATTTCAGAGTTCTTAGCAGCACTTTAGTTAATGCAACTATATTTTTTTTTTTTATAAATTTTTTCTTATTATTTTATCTATAAAATATTAATTGTAGAAAAGTGACGTCCGAAAATGCCCATTTTTTTCAAAAATAAATTGCACAAAACTCAAGTATTTCTAACACGGATTTATTCAATTAACTTTAATAATAATGTATATAAAAGGCATCTCTTTTTTAAAAGCAGGTCAGTTGGCAAATATTAAATTTTGTTTGTCGGTTTTTGCAATTGAACCGATTGCGTTAAGCGAGAGCGTACTGTATTTGTTGATCAATTTTCTAAACAAATATGTCTATATAAGACTATGCTGATGACATGTCATCGAAGATGTCAGCAGACAGCATATATATATATATATATATATATATATTGAAGGACAATACCCAAATGTGGGCTATTCTATATGTGTCCATGTTTATTTATTGCTATGATACATTGCTTTTAATTTGGGTAATTAAATAAAAATAACATATTTTTTTTTGTGTTTTTTTTTATTACCACGCACATTTGTATACCCTTGCAGATGGCACTTTTACGTATAAGAGGGCTTCATCAATCCCGTTTATAAGTAAGTATTTACCACATTAATTCAGGCAGTTTTAAAGCTCTTTTGGAACAACAGCCGAAGAGATCTACTTCAATATATCTATGGCTGTTTTTCCATAGAATATATGTATGTATATAACAATTCTGCAAGGGTTTGCGAGCAACGTTCTGCCGAAAACGGCATATTCTTTTTTTTTTCGTTTTTTTCAATTTAAAAATGTTTTTTTTTTTTTTTGTTTTTGTTTTTTGTTTGTTTCGTTTTAAATAAGTTCTTAAAATTCAGATTTAAAAATTACATGTACAATTAAATGTTAATTTAATTATTAATTTAATAATTACATATTATTAAACAGTTTGTTATTTATTTGATTTTTAATTTACGTCGAATTTTATGAATTCATTGATTGTTGTTCTCATTATTCATTCATTTCACGTTGGCAGATTTAGAATTTTATTTGATTGCTTTTGGCTAAGAGGTGACAAAACAGCATTTAATAATGAAAGGCTAAGGTAAATGTTAGTTGCTTATCGTTTGGCCCCAAATTTGTTTGGGTCATCAATTTGTTTCATTCACATAGTTTGATTAACTATGTTTAATTTGTATTTCTTCTTTTTCTATAAAGATCTATTAACAATGAACGCTACAATTACTATTCAATTTTGCTGTTGCTGCTGTTATTATTATTTTCCTTTTTTCCTTCATTTGCAATATTCTCGTTTATACTATTTTGGGAGCACCAGTTGTGTTTTTGTTGTTGTTGTTGCTGCGACCGCTTCTACAATTCATATGATCGTGGTGTTGCTCTCTCTCTCTCTCTCTCTCTGTGTGTGTGTGCTTGTCGATGTGTGGGCTATTAGGGCATTTGGTAAGTGGACACCGCTGACGTAGTACAGTGAAGCCGAATTAGGCGTAAAAAATATCTTGAGAATTTACATGTATTAAATTTAATTTACGTATTAGCACAAGTTTTCTATAAAAGCGAAAACCATGAAAAGCATACTATTCATATTCCAAAAAATAGCCAAAAATTAAGTTAAAAGAGAAAACTGACTGCAAATGCGGCTAATTCGATTTCACTGTGTGTGTGTGTGTGTGTGTGTGTGAGCAGGACAGCTAGCGCTAGTATTCAGCAGCCGGCATCAATAACGATAGCGATAACGATAACGATAGCGCGGCAGCCGTCAGAGTTGCGTTCAAGTGGTATCATTGCCAATGCCATTCTTCTGATCCAATTTATTGGAGCCCATTTTGACCATGTACACAAAGAACGTTATGATCTCCTTTTCCTTAATGGGTATTGTCTTGAAATGCTTCATGATGGTCTGCAAAGTGAAAATATGCATATTATATATATATATATATATATACATATCAATTTGAACATTTATATGCTATTGATATTGATTGATATTAATAGTGGTATTGTTAAAGACATGATCGGGCTGCTGATCTGTAGCACTTACATCCGCCAATTGCGCACGCTTCATGCCCTGTCGCGTCTGCACCTTGAAGTGACGCTTATAACGACGCAGCGTGGACACATGCAGCTGATATAGATCGGGAAATTCATGCAGATCCGTGTCCGTTTCGTTGCTATCGTCCTCGCTGTCCTTGCGTCGACGTTTCGTTCGCACCGATTGAATGCGCTCTTTGTGATAGTCGCATATGTAAATGTGCTGCGCACTTGGATCGCTGCTCAGTTTGAGCCGCTTCTGTGCGACAGTTTTCTGGATGCGTTTACTGTAGCTGGCGTAGCCAGCCTGGTTGCGGCAACGTTCCATATCATCGATCAGGCAGCATGTTTGGTCCGTGTGACCGCCCCGCGAGTCCTCCTCGCCGGTGCTGAATCCGTTGTTCATCCTCAATTTTTGGTTATTGTTGTTGTTGTTGTTGCTGTTGCTGCTCTTGTCGTTGTCGTTGTTGTTGTTGTTGTGGTTGCTGCTGCTGTGTGCGTTTTGGGGAGGGGTATCGGCGGTTGTTCGTGCGATTTAATATATTTTTACTTAACTTAACTGTGCGTTGTACGACTAAAAACAACGATTTTTTTTTCCACATTCGCTAACATACGCGAATAAAATGTGTTTAAGACACGAGTTTTAATTTGTAGTTTTGTTACCTTCTCCCACTCTTCTTTCTGCTCTGACTTGTGCGTTTTTCTCACCCCCCATACACCGTAAACATCATCACTTTGCAACTGTGTCGCACAGTTGTGAACGAGTTCGACTTAACATTCGATGTGTCTGTGTCGATAGTATTTAACATTTTATTTACATGCGTTAACATTCGGTAAGCTCATTTTTGAGCACATGCGTTGCTCCATTTTGCGCTTACGTCACAACAATTGGCATTACGTTGTCCCATTTTCGTTACGAGCTACCCATTGCGTTTACGTTTTTGACGTATTTGCTTACGAGCTCTGTTAGACTTAACATTTTATTTTTTCGCATTTATTCGCATTGCTACATCAATTTTTAATTTTTTACTTAGTTTCTTTGCGCGCAGCTCAAAAGAATAAATACGTTTCTTAGTTCGATTGTTAAACCCCAGTACAAATCGATTTATTATCGGTAATCCTTAACTCTCGATTTAAAATCGGTTCAATCAACAACATCGATAGTGCCCTCGACTGTTTTTGCAGCACTACTTTTGCGTTGAAACTTCAGCCGGACGTGTGTTGCGGGAGCGCGTTAGAAATTTGCTTCGAATCAATTTATCGTGCGTCTGCGTCGTTGTGTGAGCAAAAAGTGTAGCAATAATATTCAAAAGGTAAATTGCAAGCAGAATTTTTTGTTTTTTTTTTTTACATATGAAAATGTTGAAACTGTGCGTTAATATATCAAAGCCAACACACATGCACATATGTATGTACATAGAGGGGGCGACGCCAAACATTGCTGCGACGGCTCAGCAGGCAGAAAATTCTCAGCAGCCTCAAAGCTCAAAGCAACGGACTAGCAACAAACACCAATTGGAAACACACACATACACACACACACGCACATATATGCATACAGACTGAACTAAGACGTGCTCTGTGCGTGTGTGTATGAAATGTTTTTTTTTTTTGTTTTTTTTTTTGATTTTTTTTTTGGTCACACATAAGTATATGTATGTAAATGATGTACATACCCGTCGAATATTGGAATATTTATATAAAAAAAAAAAACAAAAAAAAGAAGAAAAGAGGAATATACTAATAATAATAAAAATCGGCTCAATGACCGCGCTGTTGGTTTTTTGCATTTCTTTCATTTATTTCGATTTTCCAATTGGCCAAAAGGCAGCACATAAAAACAGAAAGACACACGCGCCCCTGATGCCGCCCGCCCCCATCCCAACCACATACGCCAAAAAGTGCATCGAGTGAGAAATAACAGTGTGCCCATTTCGTACATACATTTGTATGTATGTACACATAATGCATGTATGTATGTATGTATGTATGTATTTAAAGGTAGCATACATATAGATATATGTACGTATGAAATTCTTTAACATTTGTACAAATAAATTAAGCGACATTTTAAAGAAACTTCCGTCTTGTGTGTGTGCGTGTGTGTGTGTGTGTGTGTTTGTCTGCGCTTAAAAACAACAAACGATAGTGTAAAGTAACTGTAGATGCTGAAAAGAGATATTCCAGAATAACAGTAAAATTCAAAAAGAAGAAAACCCCATGTATATGTGCACGAGTATATACTCGTGCGTGCGTGCGTGTGTGTGTGTGTGTGTGTGTGTGCAAACAAGCAAGAGATTTTCAGTGAAAGAGAGAGCAGAGCCAGAGCCGCACGTAAATTACGGTGCTTGTGACTGGGACTTTCTATGCGTGTGTGTGTGTGTGTGTGTGTGTGTGTGTGAGGGACAGGACACCAAGCAAAGCGTAAAGCAACAACGAAAATTTTCATGCTGTCGAAGTTGGGGTGGTTAGGTGTTTAGCTGGGTGGGTGGGCGTTCGGTCTGGTGGGGCATAACTTTGTTAGCTGACGCTGTTATCGCTGCGTTGCTGCGCAGTCGCTAACGCTGCCAGCGTCGTACCGTGTGCACGATTCAAAGTTATGTTTTATTTCGTTCATTCTTCATTAAAAAAAAAAAAGAAGCAGCAAAACAGCAAACAAACCGAAAGGAGTCAGCCTCCAACGCGTTGGCTTCAGTCGTCCTTGAGCTGCACAGCCTCGACTCCAAACTCCGTCCAGGGTCGTGTGTCTGTGTGTGTGTGTGTGTGTGCGCGCGCGTGGACATCTCTACAAGGTTTCTTCTTCTACTTTTTTTTTTTGTTGAATTCAAGGAGAGCCCGCCTCTCCCTTGCGCCCAGAGCCAACTGCATTTGATGTGTTGCATTTTTTGTTTGTTTTGTTTGAATTTGCCGCTGGCTTTAATCGCAAATGCGACACACAATCGCTGGCCCCCATCATCGCTAGCTGATGACCCGGTTAGCTAAATGGATTTTTTTTGTTTGTTTTTAATTGCGCATAATAGAAACATATGCATTAGCACACACTCACACACAGGCACAAACAAGAGCAGCACAGTGGCTTCCAAATGAAAACAACTTTCAAAAACTTTCAATTAAATTTGTAAATGCAAATTTGTGGCTCAAATCAATTATGATGTTGGCTTTGCAGCTGATTAACTCAAAAAAATATTGAAATTAGAATTGTTGTTTGCAATGAATCAGAGCAATACCCTGTATAAGAGGGGCATATCGGCTCCCAGTCTGTCGCCTGTCCGCGTCGACTTCGGATAACTTACGCCGTGCTTTAATCGGATAAAATCGGATAAAAAAAAAACACTAAAGTTATTTGGGCATGAGATTGGTATTGAGAAAAGGAGTATCCTTCGGTCGGGCACGCCCGATTAATTGTTGATTTCTAAAAACACTATCTAAAGATCTTGGTTAATTAATATATATATATATATGTATTTAGCGAAATTTGTCAGATTCAAAATATTTAAATTTTTATTATTGTTGGGCTCTAAATTTACAAACTTTGATCTTAATTAATGTTGTTTCAAATGTGTGTGCACATTTTTAATACACCTTTCAGTTAAGGTAAAAGGACAATTGCAATCGCTTGTCGTATCGCTAGTACGAGATCTTGAAGCTAATTGCCGCCGTTAATAGAACAACAATATGCATAGTACGTATACGTATATGTATGTGTATATGTATGTACATATGTATATGTATATGTATGTGTGTGTGCGTGTGTATAGACTGAATTAGTTAAATTTGCTGATAATCGAGCGTAATGTCACTTAATTGTCAACACCTTGGGGATATTTGGAAAGCTGACTTTTGACATAGGGCACACATACATACACACATACATATACACATATATATATACATTTCGGTTTAAGTTTCCAAAGAGAAGGTCATTAAAGGGCAGTTCAAAAATTATCTATTCCTTTGCTTTAGTCAAATCTGAATTTGCATTGCAAATAAGTTTTTCTCATAACATCACAACACAGACACACACACACACACACACACTCACACAGACACGCACACACAATTAACCTTAAACAACAGCAACAACTTTCAAGATAGCGGAAAAAAGGAAACACTTTTAAGAATAAGAATAACATTTGTGTAAATGCAAATTATTCAAGCGCCTTTTGTTTTGTTTCGTTTTCAAAAATTGTTCGTCCTTTGTAAATATGCATTCGTATTTGGCACATTTTCTAACATTTCTGATTCCAAATAGAACAAAAAGCTTTGTTTTGCATGCAAACAGCAACAGCTGCTGCTGCTGCTGCTGCTGCTGGCATAGAAAGCTTACGAACCCGTTAAACTGACGTTCTTTGAGATTATCTCACTGTAAAACTGGTAAAAAGCTGCTTTGCTGTATTCAATGAACGCATGAAATGCATATTTAAAAAGGTAAAAGAAGCACTTAACTAGCGTACAGGTGAAAATTGCACATAAGTTAATTACATGCATATTAAAACAATTAGCAATTTGCGCTCTTATGACAACTGCTGACACTGGAGGCAAATGCAGAGTGCATGGTGGTCGCTGTCGCAGTCGCAGTCGCTGTCGCAGTCGCAGTCGCAGTCGCAGTCGCATCATGCATTCGTGCGTGGGAGCGTAACGGAGAGCCGTCGAGAGAGGGGCAGAGAGTGAGAGAGCGTATTGTGGTAAGAGCGAGCGCACTGAACGTGCAAAATAATTGAAAGAAAAATGAAAATGAAAATAAAGCATAAATAGATTGAAAAGTTAAGCATGACGCGGCGCAACAATTGCGGAATATCAAATACAATAGAGAGCAAAACAAAAAAAAAAAAAAAACAAACGGCAAGCGTTGTTTTTGCTGCTGCTGCTGCGGCTTTTGTTTTTGTACTCACATTGCGCTAATAATAGCGGGAACAACTACTACAACAACAACAAAGACCAGCAGCTAGAAGTACTGAATACATTTAAGAAATACATATGTATGTACATTTCGTATATGCATACATACATACATATGCATGTATATACAAGAGCTGTATATGCATGCATACATGTGTACATATGTATGCTTTACAAAACAAAACAAAAAATACATTTGTTAAGCCAACAGAGTTTTCTCAGTGATTTGTACAAATTTTAAAACACACAAAAATACATTCTCTATGAGCACACATACACATAATTATGTGCATGTCTCTTTGTGTCTGTAAGTGAAATTCAAATGAAAAGCAAATCTGGCCGTGCTGCTGCATTCGCATGTACATACATACATACATACATACATATATATTTACATTTACAACAGTTTCGGGTCAATTGACTTTTAGTGTTGCGGGCACCCATACAAACGCAATCCAATGAAAAAAGCTCACAAGCAGCAACAGCAACAGCAGCAGCAACAGCAACAGCAGCAGCAGCAGCAGGACTCTGTTCGCGTCGGCGTCGCACGCAACAATTCGCCTTAGCCAAGGCAAGCCTAAGCTCACCACAGGCGCGCATACATATACACACATGTATACATACACACATACATATATACAGACACGAAAGGCAGCTGAGAGCATGCGGGGAGCGCTTGTGCTTTCGCGTCTTTCCCAATTCACCAAACCCTCATCCACATACATACACTCACTGGCTGGCGCTTCGTCACCGCACAGTGGTTTTAAAGCGATGTTAGGTTTTCTGTTTTAACAAAAAAAAAAAAAAAAACGACAAAAAAAAAAACCAACACATTTAGTTAAATTACTTTTGCGAGGCATTAAACAGTAAG